CCAAGACAAGAACATGAACCTGTTGGATTTTGTGTGGTTCAGTCTGCTCTCTAGTAGAGGAGCATAGGAGGTTAGGGTTAACAATGAATAAAAGCATCCAAAAGTGATTGGTGATAAGATTTGAATATCAATGGCAACATCTAGGGAATGGAAAAAACCTCAGAGCCTGGTATCCTGATTCTTAGCCATCGAACGTTCCTGAGTTTTATATATTGAAGTCATAATTACCCATACAAACACACTGCTCACCCCAAGGTGGCTACTGGAAATATCGTTTTTATGTTTCTTTAGTTATTCAAGAGGTGAATGTTTTTTCTCTCAAATCATCACTTTACTGAAATGAGATGTTACGTATTTCTTACCTAAACATTTCTACTCTGTTAATAAGGAAACAATAAACGACCTACATGTAAACTGTATAACTTTGAGTTAAAAATCTTTCTTTGGTGTTGTCTGGTCAATCTTGTCTACAGCATGATGCCCTGTGCATGCTCAGTGTTTTTCCTATGATTGGTCCATGACCTCTCCGTTTTTAACAACTTCAGGGTACATCGTTGCGTATTTCACATGGCCATTACAAAGAGTCAATGAGTGGATCTGTGAGCTACAGTAGGGCCTGAGGTAGCGATAAGCTTGGAAGCCAGGATTTGTTGCTTTTACGCTGTGTTTAACCCTAACCCTCCTCAATCCTCCAACAGGTGAAGGATTCAGGAGGGTTAGGGTTAATGGGACTAGTTTATCACACTGGCAGCATACAAGTGTCCCGGTGTGAAAAGACAAACTGTGGTAGGCAGTAATGACTGATGAGTGAGTCTCATGTTGGGCGAGTCCTACATTCATTTTACACTGTTTGTATTTGGCCGTGGTTTCTTTTGGATTGTCCTCATGTAACATTTGAGGTTAGTGGATGGAGCAGTGAGGGTATTTCAAGGTATGGAGGTGTCTTGTAAATAAACACCTACGTTTGGGGCAGTCTTCAAGATAAACGGAGTTCCGACTTAACTGAGTTTGAGTTATAAAGATTTCAGGGTACCTTGAGTTGGCTTGGCTCAGAGAATATGGAACAACTAATAAAACTTGGCCGAAAGCCGGCTCTGGAAATCAGGCAGGCAAATGGGAATTTACAAGAACTAAGGATGTCCAAACTACATCAGACTTTAGAGTGTTTGTTTATTTCTAACATTTGGCATGCATAAAAAGTAGAGGAATCAGTTGATCTCAGGAAAAGTCACATGCACGAGAAACATCGGAGACGCCTTTAATCAGATAACCAAAACATATATACAATGTACATCTTTTGTAGATTAGACTGCGTTTATATCTTTGCTTTTAGTTCCCCTACCTTCTCTGTCAGAATGGTGGCTCCATGGGCCTCAGCAGCATTGGCAATACTCCTAGAGACGGCACCCATGCCCCCCTCAGCATAACCCCAGGCACCCTTGATACCTTCTGCTTCTCCCATCACGTGATGGATTAAGACATAGCTGTGAGGAAACAGTTCAGTGAGCAGCAAATTCTGCAGTGTCTGGATGAGATTTGAATCTTTAAGAGATGGGGTTTAAACAATACAGAGACTTTCATTTGACAGGTTAAGTAGGCAAAGTACCTTTTGTGGTGGCTAAAATTATGTTGGATACATCTCTATCCCATTTCAAATGACATCAATTATTTCTCCTCAGGCTCACCACTCAACTTTGAACAAAAGTCTAGCACAGATTGTATGTTACATCTAGGTACCAAATGTACACTGCCAAAGACCTCATAATGTTCTCAACAAGTCCTAAAAGAACAAGCTAGAGTGGATGTTATAAAAGTAACCAGGGGAAAGCATATGGAACATAACTGAAACACTGTACCACATTTTATTCTTTGTAAAGCAACACCAAAGCAACTTCACTACGGCTTCATTCTAAATACAATCTAAAAGTAAATGTACACTTGAAACTGGCCTACTAATGACTCTGCCCTGATGACTAAATATGCTGCAGTATAACTAACCACTTTAGAGACTGTTTTCAGACAGTGATTCGAAAAACTTTCAAGGAGTTCACAACTCACTCCAAACCAAACATTAACAATCTGTGCTCGTGCCCCCCCACAATAGTTTAAAGGGTTGATGTAATTGAATCATTTCCTTAAACTCTTAAAATGTACCTTTCTTTTTCAACTAACCTTATTTACAATATCTATACGTTACAAAACTGTCATCACCTTCAAGGGAGACAACTTCAATGTTGAATTGATTGGTGAAAGTACAAAACCTGGAAACCTCGTATTTTTTACTGCCCTTAATTTGATTTTCTTGGGTGATCTACCATCGTGTAAGTCCTCAACAATAAGCCAATCAGCAACCCTAAAAAATGCATATTTCAAAACACTTGACAAAGATGTAATATATTGTAGTTTTCATACAAAGAAGAGTAGTATACATGTAAAGTTGCACAAAATTGTGCCTAAGAAAAACTCACTGCATGGAACCTTGACAGTGAAACCTTAAAAGAGTGTCTCTTGCCTAGGTGGTTGGCCTAAATAAAAAACTGAACTAGTTTGTTCCTTTAAATTCTTTAAGTACCTACCCACTTCCAGGGGTTTTTGGTGTTACCATGGCACCAATCACAGAGTCTGTGGCCAGTGTTGCCTTCAGAGGTTCCGATTCAAACCATCGATCCAGGATCTAACAAAAATTACAAATAATTGAATAACTCTAAAAGACAACCCTTAAGCTTATCAATGACTTGCTCTTGCAAGGTGTATCATTTAATTTGGAATGCAAAGTTAAAATTAAATAAGGATTAGGTTTTGGACCGACTGAAAAGAGGGGAAACACTTCCTTATACTTTTGGGGAAGGTGCTTCTTAACCCCTTCACGCCGGGAGGTGGCTAGACACGCCATAAAAATTGACATCCTCAGCCTGCTTTTCAGCTATTATTCTCTGCCCACGCTCGAGTGAACACTGTGAAAGAAGGCAAAACCTGGCTCTTGTATAAATGGTAATTGGTCTTTGTGTGTAGCCCANTTTGAAAAGAGGCAACGGGAATGTGGAAGCGTGAGTAGAGGTGCATGCCACCGAAAAATCAGCCTTTTCACCGTGTAATTCAAAGCGTGCAGAGCACTCAGGGCCACAAACCGAGAATTTGAGGTTTGGCAGGTGGCCTTCGTGGCCAAGCAAGGCTGGAATTCTTGGAGTCGGCTTTCAGGAAGAAATTCCCGTCATCAAGGGGTTAACTAAATATCCAAGAAATGTGTTTTTTAAGATTTAAAAGCGGAGTAAGCTTGACATCGAAGCCCACCCCAATTTTAACTTGCATGACCACTAGAATGAAATAGAATTGTCCTCAATTAAAAAAATTCCTAAATTACCAAACATATCTATTTTCAGCTTTGTTTACTTTTTCTGTTCCATTTACAAGCTGTCATGATGGTATTTTCTATTTAGTTATACCTGAATATTCTGCTTATTTAGTTTGTAGTAATGGAAATAAATATAATGGAAACTGCTGGAAAATGATATAAATCTATATTGACTTGAAGTAATTTTAGATTTCCTCTGCAAAGACTTACCTTTTCCATTGGAGCAGTCACAAGCTCATAAAATTGGGGAAGATTTTTCCCCAAAGCTTTTCCTATATTGATGAAGCCAGAAAAAGTAATGATTAGTAAACGGATTATCAAAAGATTACCTTATCTTTCCCTTACATTTACACTGTATTCCTCAATCTAGGCTGCAAACTCCAAGGCCAATTGCATCTACATAGAACTACATGTACATAGAATTTCCGAGCCAGTTTTTACACAGCTCATAAATTTACGAAGCAGCGTATAATGCTTGCATGAAATGAGATCCAGGATGGAATGGAAGCTTTCTGCATGTGAGCACTCACCACAGAGAAAAAGTTCAAGTGTCATAACCATAATTATAACCTCTACCTGGTTCTTTCTCCTGGTTAGCTGAAATACAGTCATGTGTGTCACTAATATGGGCTAATACATGAATTTGGCATCAGAGTGACTGGACATGCACCCAGACACTGCGCACACATCAATTCCAGTAGTCTTGAAAATTTTTTACTGAACGGCGTAATAACCAGTCTAAGCAAAATTAGACTGCATTCATTTTAGACCCTAACTTTTCAATTTTCAATTTTCTGGCAAATTTTGAAGTGCTTTTGAAAGTTGAATTCACACAGTTAAAACCCTGAAAGAATATTTTTCTAGTTTTAAGTGTGTTATAAAACACATGCAGACTGGCCACATTTGCCCACTAATGCACACCCATCCCCTTGGGCCATCCACCTTGGGCCTGTGAGTGACCAGAAATACAAGGTTCTTTGTCAAATATTGAATTGGGTAAGGGGCAATAAAGCTGCATTAAAGAGGCATTTAATGGTAAAAGCACAAAAGAAAAATTACAAACTAAATGCAAGACGCTCCCAGTTTGTAAAATTTAATTTTTAAGGAGAAAAGTACTCAGAAAGTACTCGGTCGAATACTTTCTGAGTACTTTTTTCCTAAAAACTTAATTTTTATTAACCACTTGCTGCCGGGGGATTGGTTTCAGGTTTGTTTTCTTTATACCTAATGCCTGGAAAAAAGAGCTTGGCTAAACAAAAGACCTTACTCGGACCAAAAGACCGAGCTGCTGGGAATTTCCAACATTTTTTCAGTTGTCAATAGCAGAGGAAATCCATCATTGTTTTGAAAGATCATACCACTGTTTGTGGCATTCAGTGCGAATAGATTACCACCGGGGACAAAAGCTCTCCAGCGCTCCAGTGATGAGTTATACAATACCGCTGCACGCTAATCTGGCCACTATTGAAAAGATGTCAGCAGCGCACTGCACTGGTTTGGGGAACAAAAGAAAATTACATAACACTGCACAATCTGGGCTCTTTTTACAAGGTGGCAGGCCTGGCTGAAATACTCGGGCGTCAATAGATGTTGTCTGTCAGATTAGAGTAGCCAACAACATCATTTGTGTGCGTGTAAATGTATAGTGAATGAAGTTATGAATTTTTCAAGAAGTTTGAAAACAGAAAAAACGAAAAATTACCCGGCCCAGCAGAATCAACATAAATAAATGGGCCCTGCACTAAGTGGTTAACAATGATGGTTTGAAGTCATCACTTTCGTTTGTAATCATACCTTTGTGCATGTACCATCCAATGCCCATGTACTTAAGCTTTGTTTCCTCCTGACTAGTTAAATATTTGGCAGAGAACTTCGTACTCGAAAAAAATTTGACTACATTGTTTACAGTTAAATTTACAGGAAGTGATTGATGCAAAAGTATTTTCTCCAAGACGGCTATGACTGTAAAAGCAAAGGGAAATTCCAGCAATGGTTTGACTGTGTTCAGAACTGAGACTGTTCTGTATGTCTTCATTAGTAAGCAAAGACTGGCCACTCGTCTAACCATGGTAGATCCGATCCAGACTTGCTTAAAGGTGTTTTTATACTCCAAACAATGGTTAATATATTGTCACCGCACCTGTTTGTAGTATTGCCTTTACACCTGGCCATATGTCCATTCGATCTCTCAATGTGCCATTAGAAATTGCAGACAGCTCCACTGGTGGGGCATCTATGAGAGGGCCAAGGGCTTGGGCAATGGCTGTCATCTCATGTTCATACTCAAAATACCTCTAAAAAAAAGAAAAGCAAAATGGTATGGGGTATATGGCCTTGTGTGTGAACAAAAGAAATATATGGCCTTGTGTTGGACTGGTCTCTGTCCCTGTTATATAGGGACGGGTAGCTAGCTGGCTATTGGATTCCATGGTCTGTTTAGCTGTGCACATGTGGGATTGCTTTTTCTATTTACATGATGATGTTTACATACAGCCTTTCGTGTGCGCATAACGGCCGAACAAATGGCTCTCGGGAAATTTCAGAAATTTTTTTCCTTAAACTCCTAATTATGGAAGTGGTTACCCCTAAAAAGCAGGTAAAAACATCTTAAAGTTGTGTTGTCTTGTGAAATGACTCAGTAGAGAGAGTGTTAATCCAGTCTGGAAAGTCTCAGAATTTTATTGCGTGATAGTGTTGCATTGTGGGAAATGTTAAATGTGTATGTGCATGCAAGATTTGTTACTTAGCAAACTGGCAAATCTGTCAATGGACAGAAACAGCAAAGGCCCTTGATTGGTCATAAGCAGTTCGCTGACTATAGTCTGTAAGGCAGACACCCACTGGTTGGTCAGAATTGGGAGGTCAAGATGCAGCTGTCTCTAATAATTGAGGTTATGTCTGGAATGGCCTACAGAGCTACGGGTACATCTAGTGTTAGCCTGCCCCCCACACAAACGCAAACGGTTCAGACGTAGCTTTAGTATAATGACTTGGACTTGGCCTAAAACTACAAATGCCCACCTTGGCATCTTTTTCTGAGAACTGTGCAATCTGCTCGTAGGTTTTATTCTGATCACAGGACAGGAGAAGAGATCGAGGCCTGCCACCTGGTCCTGGGTCTTCCAGTAGTGGTGTGAAGGCATAAGAATCCCGGATGTGAACCTTCAACCCGTGCCTCTGCGGTGTAAACAATAGAAATTGAAGTAATCAGTTTGAGGTCAAGCAGAACATCCAACAATAGCCAAATTCATCAAGCCATGCCCCGTGATCTCCTGACCAATTACAGTGCTGTGACTTTAGTCTTTCCATCAAAGTTCTCCATGCGCACGCTGCTACGGAATGCACAGCTGGAACAACAGGGTTCCATCTTCAGTAAGTAGCTGCAAAAATGGGAATAGAGCTGATCTGCCAACTGGAACCCTGAACACGCAGTGTGGCATTGGAGAGGTGCACATGTTTTTTCAAACAGTTCCGTAATGGCTGTGATTAAAAGGATCTGCCTATGGAAATCAGCCCAGATGCCCATCTTAAATAAGAAAATGTTAGAAATCTGCAATCCGTAAAGCTTGGAGACATCCCAATCCAAGTACAGCGTGAGCTATACCGGAACTGCCTGTCCAATTACTTGTGACTCATTTCCCTACGTATGTTCGGAAGGAAACTTAGCTAAACATAGAACAGATTGGATGCCGAGAACAATTTTGAATCAATCGGCTAATTTTGTTAAAGGTCAGCTTAAACCACCTTTTCTTTCAGATTCAGCTTTCTTTAACAAGGGCAGTTCGAATCTTCCACTCTTTTCATTTTCAAAAATGTCAAGTCAACAACGTTAATGGTCCATTTGCAAAAACTATCTGGCATCTCCATCCAAACCTGTATTTCCTTTCCATCCAGAGCGATAAGACCACCCTTTTCACGCTCATCCTGTCAAGCCACCAAATGATAAAGACCGTTTTTGTAACAGTCAACTGACCTTGAGTTCTAGATCCTCATATATATCTGGTCGTAAGAGACTTAGAACATAAGAACATCGGGAGAACTTGAAACCTGTACAGAACAGGGGAGAATGATGGACAAAGAGAAATCTACAAGACACAGTGTCACAAAGTACAGCAAAAATCCAATGATTAAACTTTTTGCACTCAAAAATCCTGACATCACACCCTTCACTGAAATGCATTCCACCATGATTACATGTATGACCTTTATCAAGATGGACTGGATTTGCGGGCAGGACTAATGGTGAGTCACGCAAAACTTACACAGAATCAAAATTACTTATGTATTGCATTAAAATTGGAACCACATGTCCAGTCTCTGCTGATTGAGATTTAGTGTCGCTGCACGTCTTTGATGTGCAATTGGGAAATCATGAAAAAAATACAGGCCAAAACCAAAACAAACGGATCAACATCTTGTCCTCCAGATTGCAACGAATAAGCTGGTGTCTACTGACCAGCTGACCCAGTGGATTTGATTGGCTGACTTGTAAGTTGGCATAAAATGAACACGTTCAAATAAAATGTTCATGGAGAGAGCAGTTGGCAAAGGCAACGTGATACTCAAAAAATAGGAATTGACTCATGGAAGGATACAAGGTTCCCCACTCATTACCTAAAAATAAAGGCTCAAGTGATCATTTGTACCTGGCACAATCTCCTCAGTGACAGCAGCTCCTCCTGTGACATGCCTCCTCTCCAAAACCAGAGTCTTCAGGCCCGCCTTTTGAAGATAGGCCGCCTGAAAGATTTATAAAACATATTCATAAACACCTCAGGCAGTCAACCAATCACTGGTGGTGGGGGGGGCAGGGAACCAGGCCCCCACTTTTGTGGAATACAAATTTGCTTGGGCAGTATTAAACAAGTACAGGATGTTAGGGGTAAATGACCCACCATGCTGGTCACATGGGAAACAAAGTTATTGCATATTCATGCAAAAACACGGTGGCTTAATTAAACAATGCAAAGAGAAGTTGATCCAGTTGTCAATACTTAAGAAAAACTGCTGCAGGCATATACATGTACACTGTAGGCCTACATGTAAGTCAAGTGAGTTACGTACCATACTTGTGTGTGTACTGGTCTGTTACTTTCGACTGTTCAAATCAATATTGCAAAAGTAATATTTACATGACTTCACCAAGTGGAGAGGTACCTCCAGTAATCTAAAACCATTCAATATATTGCCAGATATTGCACATGCCCACCTAAACCTATGACAACATAACAGCAAAGTGTGAGGGAAGTGCATGTAATCAAGCATAAATTATTGACAGTGCTGAAAAGATACAAAACTATTGTAGCTCGTCTGAGAGTACATGTAGCTGGGCCTGGGGTAACCAGGCAAGGGTGGGGGTAGGGGGAGATGTGAATCAGGGAGGGGGTGCATCTGTCTGTTTCAGTTCAGTGCAACTCCACTTGACTTATTATGCTCATTAACATCTACACTTTGCAAAAAAGCCAAAAGTTGTTCAAATAAATATGAAATTGAGAACAGAGTAAAGTTAAACTATCAATTCAACGTTTTTCATGTGAAGTATTTAGGGCTCACTATTGACAATTTTTCCATATTTGTTCGGAACTGCCTTTGTAGCAAGTTATATTTTGCAAAACAAACGATGGCAATGCCTTTCCCCTATAAGTCCCTCATTACGCTTAGCCATGCATGGAACCCTTGATACAGCAACACTACGTATACAAGTACTCATGCATCACCGCAGTCAGTCCATTGTGGCCAGCACCGATGATGACAGCATCATATTCTTGAGCCAAAGGATCTCCCTGCCTCGCATGGGACTTGGAGAAGCGTCTCGCCGTCACGTGATAGCTGCAACTAATCAGAGGCTTGACATGCATCCGCTGGCTGAAGGCCGCACGCACAGCATTCAACATCATATTCACACCTGCAGTGACGGGGGGAATGGATTTTGGAATGAGAGCCCATTTGAGCCCACTTTTTTGCATCCCATTCTTTGCTTTAGTAAGCTCCAAGAGTAGAGATTTTACTCTCATCATACAAGGGGACCTGTGGGGATATGCTAAATGTCGCTGTTAGGAGGTACATGTACTAAACTGGTTTTCTTAATAACTCAATCTCACGGGCTCGCTCTCACTGTCGCCATCTTTAAAATAAGGTCGTTGAACATTATGTCACTTGACCCCTTATCTTCTCGACGGCTGTTCCATGTCAAGACATATCTAATACACAGACTGAGCGATAAGATACTACATGTACCAATGGGCTTTTCCAAAACTTGGGCAGGTTGTAATATGTCTTGACATGGAGCAGCCGTCAAGAAGATTAGGGGTCAAGTGACGTAACGTTCAATGACCTTATTTTAAAGATGGTGACTGAGAGCAAGCCCATGAGATTGAATGGGTGAAGGCAAAAAGACTGGAAAAAACCAGAACAACACGAGTGAAATTATTCAGTAATTGGTGCTCAGAAAGCAGAGATGCTAAGGATCATTTCAGTCTGCCAAAAAAAATTGCTCCTACGATTATAAGAGGGTGTGCCGAACATTTTCACCACGCTGACACGAAATTGCATATATGGATCTGTGGCTAAGAATGGAGCAGGAGTGAGAGTCCGTGCCACACTAGTGGGGCTATAGTGGGGCTACCCAAAGCCCAGTCCTCTTTTCACAGACTTAATCTGTCACGTACTGACGTACATGTATCACCGCCACTTTAATTTACCAACGAAATCCAGTCCTAGTCTTATTATAGGAACAGCCCTGAAACCTACGCTACTGCACTAGTAATGGTAATTGTAGTTAAGTATAGTGTCTCCCCGTGCACCCACACCACAAATTTTGCACAGGCCTAGGCTGCAATATGAAGTACATGTATAGTAGAGATCAGTGAGTAGGCCTACTACATGTACTTCGAGAGTGCAGCCTAGTATCAAATTTAACCCTGCGTGGTGCAATGCCACTGACCACGACAGTCCACTAGTATAGTGACAGCTTCCTCTTAAAAAAAAAAACAGGCCTAGTATTTTGGCTTGACATTAGGCAGACAATGCATAATAATGTACATGTAGCTGCTGGCTACCTACATGTATGGCATTTCTAAAACAACATTTCTAAAATTTACCTGGTGAACGCTTCCAAATGCCTCAAAAAACGAAGGACTCTACCACCACTAGTACTAGCCACCCTAGCCCCACAAATATGAAATAGGGCTGTGGCGGCTCTCTTTTACAATCTGTCTCTTATCTACTTCAATGCCTGAAATCCAAACTGCAGGGTTGTCACAAACTTTGAATCCTAATATCTTCCGAAATGTGAATGACTCGACAATTTTACTTACACCGGCGTATTTCTCAGATTTTCATACGAGCACCCTAAAGCTTTACAGAATCGTAAATTTTCCGATATATGTCGCCTTGAAAAACCCGGCCTGCACTATTAAATGCTGACCATGGGTTGCGCCATTTTGAAAAACGAAGGCAGCGCTTCGAGCGTCGGATCGGAAGTCAAGGCCAATTCAAAAGCAAACTTCATTTTCGGGCTCAATCAAAATGATAAGGGGGGTATAGCCTATTTTATTTGATAAATAAATTTACCGATTAGTTTCTTTCCAACTCACGTATGACGTAATCTCAGTTGAAAATAAAATAAAAAATGAAATAAACAAGCCGTCTGGGGGAAATTAAGTGGCCATAAAAGTTCAATTACCTGAAAAAATTTCCTCAATTCTTGGGCCATCCGAAAATTTATTTATAGAACCATCCTTGCCAACTAGATAACTCTTGAATTGCTATCCAACTTGTTGAAATCCTGACATTTTGTCCAAAGTATCAACCAACTCCAAACTTCGGTTGTGTGGTCACGGTAACATAAACCTGGAGGAGATAAAACAGGTCGATAGTGGTAACAAGTCCATGTCACGTAAACACGGCGTACCGTACGGCCATCTACCAAATCAGAAACGTTCCTGTAATGATTATTGCGTACTATACCAACAATCTTGTTACAGAGGATTATTCACCAATAACTCCTTTACTGATCAACAAGAAAGTCTGTTAACATCATTTCTTTGACTTAATTTTGTAAATTGCAGTAGGGGCCTACTTGTGACATCTTTGCTTATGACATTGTCGTTATTACATATTTCTCATGATAGAATTCCGCTTGAACACGTGACGACATGGCCAAGATTTTTTACCAGGGGGGTGGCAATCCAATTTTTTTGTAGGTGGAAAATTTCCATAAGGGCAAAGCACTCATCAGCAACAAAATAATAAACCATGCAAGCAGTGCAAGGTACCAGTATCCCCAACGTTTCCTTTCCAAGCAAATTGGTGATTTTCATCCCCTTTCATTTCATTCATTCACTTCTTTCAGCATTGTCTTTCTTTCTTTTTGGTTGAGGGAAGGGGTTAACTTGAATTATCCACTTTGCCCCCCTCGCAACGCACATGCCCGGGTAATTCATCTTTTAGTCCGGGTGCAGTTCCCAGTGGCGTACTCTCGAGGGACCGGGGGAACTCCTCGTCCCCGGACATGTCATGTGTTTTTAAAGAGATGCAAAGGACTGACATTTCTGAAAATGGCACTCTCACCTTCCGGCGGTGGGTATAGGAATTTCTACGTTTAGAAACATAAATTGTTATTTTTGAAGAAAATTCCACTGCCCCGAACCAAAAGCCTATTCGCCATTGGCATATTTTCCACAGACGGTACGTCTTTACTAGCTCCAAAAGAATTGATTTAACTGCACAATGGGTAGTTAAATATGTCATTTAACAAAAAAGGTTAAAACCCGCGTTGTCTGAATCACTTTTCGAGCGTGCCAACGTCTCCGGTTGCATTCACCCGATCCTGTGCTGGGCTCTCCATATGGTGGATATAGTCCCCCCCTACACACACACACAATCTTTCGTGGGGAGAAAAGTTAAGGTGGATTTTGCAGAATTTCTTGGACTGAATAACAACTACAATTTATTAAAAGGCATTCAAAAATTGAGAACCGTTTTTGTAAAATGCCACAAATGGATCAGTATCGTTTTGAAGAACAGGAGTGTAATAAAACACGTTAAAGACGCACATCTGTGTTATGAACGTAACCCCGGGTACAGGGAGAGCCAAAGGTGAGCAACCACATTTCCCAGTTTTTTTAGTGGATTTTTCAGGTTTTTAGAATTCGAATCAACTTTTTTAAAAACTTACTTTTTCTACTAGCAGAAATTTGGATTTTACTCTGACGAATCTCACGGCGCCCTAAATAAAAAAAAGTGGACGTGTGACTTCAAATATTGACGTGATGGTCCAACAGTGCATGGACAGTAGAAAACCCAATTTTCTTATTTCCTGCCGGTGGATTTCCAGTTTTTTTAGAATTCGTGTCTAATATTGAAAAAAAAATACTGTTTTCTACTGGCAGATATTTGCATTTGTTATGACTCTCGCGAAGCCCCAAACGGACAGGTGAAAGTTAAAATTCCTATCAGTCAAAGTAGTATGTGATGTTCCAAAAGTGGACAGCCCAATGTTCCCACTTTCTTCTGGTAGATTTTGATGTGTTTTGACGTCGGGACATGTTTTCAAATAACCGGCTTTTTGACGGCGGAAAGTTGGACTCTACTTTGATGACTCTCGCGGAGCCCTGAAACTGGCTAACTAGAAAATTGAAACGAACGTGTTGCGCCCCTACATTCAAAATTGAATGGTCTTCAGACCATGACGCCCAAACATCGCGCTACACCCATTACCCAGAAAATTGTCGATTTCGAGTCTACGACGCGAGGAAGGTGGAAACACCCGGTCAATTACCGACTTGATTTCATGTCTTCGAAGCATCCCAATTGATAGTCCTGTATGGAGGATGAAAAGTGGCCATCTGCTTATCCGCTATCAGAATGGTAGAAAAGCAGATTTCATATTCTGGTAACATGCAAGTTCGACTTTTCTACTTTTCTGCCATCTCAAAAAGCAGAACGAACATTGTTTGGTCAAGCATTTTTCTATTTTTCTGCTTTTCTGATTCATGAAAAACAGATTTTACTTTTTCTTCGTTCGCTGGCAGCCGAAAAGCGGCCATCTGCTTTTCTCCTTTCGAACAGGCAGAAATGACGATCGAACGTTTTCACGGTAACCGTGAATTCTACTTTTTTTGCTTTTTTTAATACCGGAGAAGCAATTTTACATAGGCGGCCGTAAAGTGGCCTCCTGCTTTTCTGCCTCATTCCAAGGGCCGTGAACTTGAGGGGTTGTGAACAGGTTATGACCATTTCCTTTCTTGGGGATTTAAGACGTATAAACCAATAATTACAGTCCACCCTATCTTTGGTAATGAAAGATTCACATTCCTTGGCCCAAGCATGTGTCTATTGGATGATAGCTTTAAAACTGTATTTTCTTTGAGATGCTGTTTTCTCTGCCTCATATGGGTCCCCAGAAAGCATGCTTTAAGTATTGGTTTCTATGTGCATCAACTCCCCCAGAACGGAAATGGTCGTAACCTACCGGTTCATGACCGCATTCATGGCCCATCGAGGACATAAAAGTAGGTGGCCACTTTTCGGCCACCTAGGAAAAATCTGCTTCTCCGGTATCACAAAGCAGAAAAGTAGAAAACTTGAATTCACGGTCGTCGTCAAAACGTTCAATCCACTTTCCTGCTTGTTTGACAGGTAAAAAGCAGATGGCCACTTTTCGGCTGCCGTCGAAAAGAGGAAAAGTTAAACTAGTTTTTACTAGCAGAAAAGCAGAAAAGTGGAAAAATGCATTACAATAAAATGGTCATTCTGCTTTTGAGGTAGCAGAAAAGTAGAAAAATAAAAAAATGCATGTTACAAAGACGTAAAATCTGCCTTTATACTATTCTGATAGCAGAAAAACAGTAAACACATGGTTACCTCATGGCCCAATCAATGGTTCAAAGCGGCATAAACTGAAAAGAATATTCACAAATAAGTCTTATTGTAGAACTGAAATTGTGGGACATCAGAAACAGCTCGGCAGATGAATGCCACTGCTAAAAATGATGAAGCTCCCGGTACAACGGGTTGGGCCGAATCAGTCGGGGCGCTAATTAAGTGTGCCCAGGGTTCCCCCTACACATTCCTTGAGAGAAAATCACACTTTTTTGAAATCTAGGATGGTACAAAATCGTTTGAAAACGGACATCAGCCCAGAAACCGATTTACCCGTCTTTGTTCCTAATCGGG